GAAACAGACCATCCGCAAGCAAACCGTCCTCCTCAATCTGGGATCTCTTCAACTCTGAACAGGGATCCCTTTATCTGGGGCTGGCATGGAGGGGCCGGATAGAAAGGGTTAACCTGTATTGAATTGAATCCTATGGCAAAGTGGTCTATAGCTGCATGGGGGCTTTAGAAAAAGAAACAAAGCATGTGACTTCTATACCGAGGGTGACTTGAGGTCTTCCAGTTCACAAACCACTGAATTTGCAAATTCCTCCATGATTGGACGCATGAAGGGGGAATCTGAATATTCGGAGAACATGTTATGTGACCCGGTAATAGGGGACCCTCAGGCCAGTCGCTCTGTTCATTTAATGATCCGCCTGTGTATGTTATGCAAGGACTCGTATTAGTACATAGAGTACAAACTACGTGAATGTTGTCATCTGAGGAGAACGTCTCGTTAACTCTCTGCCGCAGCACAAGACTGCCAGGTATTACGGATCACTGGCCGGCAAAAAGTCTTAGGGGCTCGTCCACGCCATGGGCAGCGAGCTGCGCTTTTCTGCATGGGATCATGGCAGGTCAAACCAATGGTTTTCTATGAACCCTATTCACACAACCACATTGTGCAGCATGTATACATTTTACCCCAATGCACATCGACGCAGGTCAACGCACTGTACAGCAAAGAAATGGTAATTAGTTTGAACATTTAAGGGAATAAGACGGAAAAATGATGAGCAATAGATAACATTACAATGCATGCATGAAAATGCAACGCAACATGCAAGAAAAGGGATGTAAACCTGCATGAAACGGGAGGAATTTATCAAAACTGGAGCAGACAGAATCTGAAGCAGTTGTCCATGGCAACTGATTAGCTTCTCTGTTTCGTTTTCAAAGCTTAACTGAACAAACTGGAGAGAAAAAAACTGGTTGCTATGGGCAACTGCTCCAGATTCTGTTTGCTCCAGTTTCTCCAACTCCCTTTACTTCCTGGGACTCTGGCACATGTGACTAGGACATGTGACTATGCACATCATCTCAGGGGAGGAAATGCCTTTCCCTGAGATTTCCCAGCAATGCTCTTCTGATGTAACCTTCCCAGGATGCAATGCTTGGGCACATACATCACTTATGCCCAAGAGGACCAGGAAGTGGAAAAACAATAGTTATAAGTAAAAGAAATATATGTTTAACTAATGGATGTAAGATGATTTGATATCAGCAGGCAGAGCTGCATGTTGATGTGATTTTTAGCTAAAGGAGGTAAAGGCCTGCTTTAAGGTTTGAAAATGAAACAGAGAAGCTGATTGGTTGCCATGGGCAACTGCTCCAGACTCTGTCTGCTCCAGTTCGAAAAATTCCCCTCAACGAGTTGGGTTTTTATGTGCACCATGGTGTGAACGGGCCTGAACAGAGGAGCACTATAAACCGGGCGAGGAGGTAAATGGTAACTGTTGCCCATGGCAACCAATAGGAAACTGAGATTCTTTTATAATAAGAAATGTACTAGAAACTGATTGGTTGCTTTGGGGAACACCTCCATGTGTATTTGATGAGGGAAAGACCTGTACAGTATAAGAATAGCAGATACAGATACGTACATCAATCTGATGCAGCCAGAGAGCAGAAATAACCTTCCCTTCTCTACCTAGTAGTAGCCAAGTGAAACTCCGTCAGCTCATGCACATGGGCAAAATACAAGCGTATGGGCATGCAGCGTAAAATACGCTTGTATTTGTGGCTCCTGGGAGCCCCATCCGCCGCATTGTTCTGTCCAGGGAACCAGAAAGCGCTGTACATAGGTAAATGTGTGTACACACTGCAACTGGCATTTGCACACCCATGGATGTAGAAACTTCCGCCCATGTGCATGTACTGACCAATACCGGCGTTTACATGCGTATAATGGCATAAAGCACTTTCTGTCTATATATTCCTATAGACAGAAAAACACAGCGGATGGGGCTCCAGGGCGCTGCAAATTCAGCCATATTTTACGCTGCAAGCCTGTATTTGTGTCATTGTGCACATTTTACCATACACGAGGTTTCCAGCTACTACTATGGCTGGAACACGCGGAAGTCGCCTAGCATATTGCACTTGTACTTTTTTGTGCAATGTGCGTTTTCGTGCAGCGCAGGTGTGAACAAGTTGCCTTAAAATGTATGGGTTTTTGTGTTTTGTACATTTCCGCACGTAAACACTAATGTGTGAACAGAGCATGACGTAGTCTTCACTCTGTGTACACAACAGGTATGGAAAGGCAATGAAACTTCTTATCATATTATTTCATCGATGAAAGAAATATGGAACATCTACGTCCATGAAAAGATAAACATGCGCGCACAGGAATAGGGCGAGCAGCTTTTACCTGCTTTGCTAATAGAATCTTCCCCAAGTATCCTCTGGTGAGGGTCACCTATTCTGAAGACATCAATCCCGGGACTTCATTACTAGTACCTGATCATGGCATGTTTAACAAATAATGTCTTATGTTTCCAAATAAGTCAAATATTTATAAATATAATCTTTTTTATTTTTATTTAGATAAATATAATATTTACTCAAACGGGTTTGATGATTTATAAATATAATATTTACTCAGTATAAATACTCCTGGAATACAGGTAGGACTTGTTGACACAATCTAAATCACATGGCAGTGAGACCTCCATTGGCCTGATATACATGTTTATACACACAGCCACTACTACTACTACCCTGTTTCCCTGAAAATAAGACCTACCCCGAAAATAAGACCTAGTACTATTTTTGGGAATTGCTAAAATATAAGACCTACCCCGAAAATAAGATCTAGTTGTGACCATTCCCAGGGCCGGTGGTGGAATAAGGGGGAACTTGAAGAGCCGTGGGAGAGGCAGGAGAGAATCAGCGGTGCCAACGAAGCCAGCGCCAGAAGAAGCAAGGTGGCACCGGAGGGAGCAGAGCCGCATAAGCCGATGCCTCCTCTAAAGCGCCAGCTCATGTCCGCCTGTGACACTCCGCCTGTGAGCAATCGATAGTGAAGTTGCGCTTCGCTCATTTCGCCCAGCGATTGGTTAGCAAATTGGTCTTGGAAAGGTACAGCACCCCTGATTGCCCTGATCACCATATTTTTGTACACGAATACATGTAGACTTTCTACATGAATAAGTGTGGATTGTTGTACATTAAAAACAAAAAAATAAGACCTACCCCGGAAATAAGACCTAGTGTGTTTTTTTGTGACAAAAAAATATAAGACAGTGTCTTATTTTCGGGGAAACATGGTATGTAGGCAGCAATACTAAAAAAGAGAATGACATGCAGCATGCCACAGACAGGACAGCAATGCAGATACACACACAGCACATATAAAGAGAACGTACAGCGCTATACAAGCACACATATAATTATAGACACACAGACTCGGCAGACACACGGCTATTTAAAGGAAACCTGTAGAGAGTGAAGTACGGGGGCTGCCATTGCTGAATGCTAGCTGCCTGCCTGTGATGCTGATCCTCTGGCTTCTATACTTTCTGAGTCGGTGACCAAGAAAAAAATATCAGGAAATCAGAGCAAATTCAAAAGTCCTCATCTGCCTGCTTGCTGCAAGAGGGTTATCTCTATATACAGCCCTGTGCCCTCTGATGATGAGTATTATCTCTCTATACAGCCCTGTGCCCTCTGATGAGTATTATCTCTATATACAGCCATGTGCCCTCTGATGATGAGTATTATCTCTCTATACAACCCTGTGCCCTCTGATGACTATTATCTCTATATACAGCACTGTGCCCCCTGATGATGAGTATCATCTCTCTATACAGCCCTGTGCCCTCTGATGATGAGTATTATCTCTATATACAGCCCTGTGCCCTCTGATGATGAGTATCATCTGTCTATATACAGCCCTGTGCCTTCTGATGATGAGTATTATCTCTCTATATACAGCCCTGTGCCCTCTGATGATAAGCATTATCTTTCTATATACAGCCCTGTGCCCCCTGATGATGAGTATTATCTCTCTATATACAGCCCTGTGCCCTCTGATGATAAGTATTATCTCTCTATATACAGCCCTGTGCCCTCTGATGATGAGTATTATCTCTCTATATACAGCCCTGTGCCTTCTGATGATGAGTATTATCTTTCTATATACAGCCCTGTTCCCTCTGATGATGAGTATTATCTCTCTATATACAGCCCTGTGCCTTCTGATGATGAGTATTATCTTTCTATATACAGCCCTGTTCCCTCTGATGATGAGTATTATCTCTCTATATACAGCCCTGTGCCCCCTGATGACTATTATCATATGTCAGTATCTCCTCCCAGCAGTGATGTCCTAGCCGGGTGCGGGGTCCCCGGGCAGCGGTCACGTGGTGGAGCCCCGGGTGGGATGCGTGTTACCTTAGTGCGGGAGGCTGAGGCTGGGTGCAGGCAGAGGCTGATGAGTAGAAGGGTGAGCCCGGGGGGGCGGCGGACAGACGAGCACATCCCTGTACTGCAGCTGCGGCAGGAAAAGCCTCGGGACCGGCTGGGGCAGCCCGCTCCCTCCCCGCATGGCCAAGTAATTACAGGCTCTGAGCTGTGTGAGGCTGGGGGAGCTCGGAGCCGGGACAGGGGGAGGGGGAGAGGGGGGCACAGGAGGGACAAGGAGAGGCTAGAGGGAAGAAGACACAGGGGAGGGAGAGAGAGGTAGACGGGATGATAAGGGGGGGAGGAGGACAGACTCAGCTATGGAGGGTAACATACGGGGGAATGATGCAATATCATGGGGAGAAGGATGATGATGATGGAGGAGATAATTCCTACAGAGGAGAAAGTCCAGTCTCATCTGGGTGGCTGCATGGAGTTTGTACATTCACCACGTGACTGCCTGGGGGGGGGTCCCTCCCACAAACCACACGGAAAGAGAAGTTAAAGAAGATCTCCAGGTATTTTTAGAATGAACCCCTGCAGTGGGTCTACCCTCTGCACTGCAAGGGGTAGCTGCTCATTTTGGTCTAGGGGCAAAAATAAAGAAGATATACTCACCCGATCCTTGGTCCTGCGGCGGTGAGCACTCGCCTCTCTCTCCCTCCGCTCCAGGCTATGGTATGTTCCATGGCATCCTCACGTTTAATAGATCTGCATTAGATGTGATGGCGTCACGGGTCCTTAGACTGCTGGAGCCTGGGGGAGAAGTGGCTGCGAGAACCGGTCTAGCAGCCGGGCGGGACTGAGGATTGGTATTTCTTCTTTACTTTCATCCCTAGGCCAAAACGAGCATTTAACCCATGCAGTGCGGGGGTAGCCCTACTGCAAGGGTTCATCTGAAGAATACCTGGAGTTCTTCTTTAAAGCAGACCTCCACCTACAGTATGACAATAACTTTCAATCACCTGCCTCCTTCCCCTCCCTCTTACACAAATGGAGAAAAAAACATGTAAATAGTGAATATCTTTTTTTTGGGGGGGTGGGAGGGCACTTCCTGCATTGTATTCATCAAGACAAAGATGATATACTCCTGCCCGCTGCTTCCTGGGGTGTGTACATCACACATCCCAGGAGGCAGCTTGTGAGATCTCAGGAACGCACATATATGCTGCGGGTGTCTGGCAGGACCCATAGACCTGTAGTATGTCTGCACATGCGGTTTGTTTTCTTTATGGAGCTGCCACAATCTGAGTAAATTGGTCTGTCCCTTGCCAGCATTCTGTACAAAAGGCTCCCTTCTCTCTGTGTGGAATCAGCGGTCTCTCTGCAGAAGACCAACACACCCCTTGCTGAGTCAGATCCCTCCAATCAGAAAAGCTCATGCTCCCTACTGATTGGAGAGCTCTAATATAGCAAGCAAGTTGCGCTTGGTCTAAGTGAATGTGAATTTTAAAATAAAAAAAGGGGAAAAACAAACTCTTATGTCAAAGAAACCATAAATATCACTGTGAAAAAACGAAAATGCTATATCTCAATATGTGATCAATGCGTGAATACTCAAAGTTATAAAAAGATCTCTCGGATCAAAAGAGAGCTATAAACAATATATAAATGCCGGAATTAATTAATACGGCATGTGATAAGTAATTCATTAATTAATTCCGGCATTTATATATTTATTTATATTGTTTACAGCTCTCTTTTGATCTGAGAGATCTTTTTATAACTTTGAGTATTCACGCATTGATCACATATTGAGATATAGCATTTTCGTTTTTTCACAGTGATATTTATGGTTTCTTTGACATAAGAGTTTGTTTTTCCCCTTTTTTTATTTTAAAATTCACATTCACTTAGACCAAGCGCAACTTGCTTGCTATATTAGATATACACCTCTACACAGAGTTGCTGCTGGTCCTATTAACCATTTAATCATCCAGTCCTAGCGCAGTGGTCCTTGAACCAAGATTGGAGAGCTCTAGCTCGCTAGGATTAGACCATTACCAAGGAGCCTGTGTGCTGTGCTCACCTCTGTTCTGGAACGGATCAGCAAACTGTCTGAACTAGAGGTTTGCCGAAATGAACATTTCAAAACCAAAATTTAAAAAAAAAAGATCAGACAGAAAACAAAAATGTTTTTTTCTATCTTTGTTTAAAAAAATTAAATATTTTATTTGTATGTATTTATTTATTTTTATTAAATATTTTCTTTTTTTTCTTTTAGGGGCTTCGGGGCAATATTAGGGGTCTAAACAGACCCCTGATATTTCCCTTTTAAAATAGAGAAAGAGATTGAGGACACAGAGTCCTGAATCTCATTTTCTGCAGCCTCTGTTACATTATAAATGAACAGGAATCCTCCTTACTGAGTGTTCCTGTTCATTCATAACATGAGGACAGAGGATGTTTACTATAACCACAACTATGAATGAGCAGGAGGTGATGTAAAGTACTTCCCATTCATTCATAATTGGGGACACAGTAAACATACCCTGTCCTCAATTATTTACAAACACTCAGCGATCACTGACTGCTTCTACCTGCTCTCCATCCTGGATCAGCTGTCACAGGAGGCTGAGCGAGCAGTGAGGGGAGGAGATCTAGATCTGACAGCTGTCTCCGCCCCCACACCACCGCTCTCCCGATCTGTCACAAGGCCAATCAGGAAGCCGGGCGCCGTTTCATGAGGTGACGAGGGAGCATAAAGCCGGCTTCCCGGCCAATCAGAAAGCTGGGCGCCGCATCATTACAGGGTGCCTGGCTTCTTGATTGGCCAGCTTCCCCACCTAAAGAATAGGTCTTCTGGATATAATGAGAAAAAATGAGATCCTATCGCTGTCTTTGTCTTCGTTAGGGAGATTTTCCCTTATTTCCTGTATTGCCACAGTAACAGAAGAACAATCCCTTCTCAAGTCTAACCAAAGCTAGAATGAGCCAATGAGACAATGTCTTATAAGGTAGTATTAAACTCTAAAAACGTTTTTCAATAATGAGCACAGATCACACAAATCTGCATTACCCAACAAAGTATTTCTTTCATTTTTTGCCCAAGCAAGAACAGTCATCATGATACTGAACTCCTGGCTCCAACTCTCTCAGCTCGGCTTCTCTGAACTTACCATCCAGTACAAGATCACAAGGGACAGAGCAGTCTCCAGGCGCTGTCCATCAACCAGCTGGGAGGAGGGTGGAGCAGGAAGCTGGGATCATGGCAATGGCTTGCTTTGCTGTGTCTGTGTGTTTGTGGAGATGTACACAGCTTACTTAGCGGCTCTCGCACATCGGACAAGGAAATAGCAGCAGGAACACTGATGTTATTGGACATTTTTCTTCAAGCTGTAAAGCCAGTCTATATATTTTTTCCCTTTTTAGTCATTTTTCTTCCACTGATAGCCAGGACAAGTGGCTAAACTTGTCCTCTAGGACAGCCAGCCATGACACAGAACAGATAAGTCAACCTTCTCCTATACGGACTAGTTAACTGAGATGTGGGGAAGTCTGCAGCACAGACACTAAAGAGCCCAATAAACATTACATGGAGGGTCTCTTATTTTGGTGTGTTAGCTTTGTGAGTTGAAGGTTTTGTTGCTTTGAGTAAACTTCAACCAAATAAGTAAGCCAGGACCTGAGGAACAGGGCAGTGTGACCTCACTAAACAGCTGCAAATGCTTATGATTATGAAAGGGCTCGTTCACACTATAATGTGCGCCATGACCTGTGTTATAATGTGCTTTACTGCAGTGCATTGTAACACACTGTAGATGTGCAGCTGTGGTTCATTGCAATGAAACATTAAGGCCCCGTTCACAATTGACCGTTTTGTAGCGCGTCCTACGCTCGACGAACGCGCTACAAAACGGTCAAAAAAATAAATAGCATTGTAGTCAATGCCCTCGTTCCCACCTAGGCGTATTTCCGCCCGTCCCTAACGCCCTACAAAACGGCCCACGCCTGAAAAGGTCCCAGGACTACTTTGGGCCGTTTTGTAGGGCGTTTTCCATTGGGATACAGCCAAGTAGCCTTTGGAATCGCGCGACTTTTTACCGCGAATCGCGGTAAAAAAAACCGCGTGACGGTCGCGCGACAGACGCGCATATTACAATACGCCTAGGTGTGAATGGGGCCTAATTGCACCCCAATGCACATCTACAGTGGGTATGAACATCTTATCTGAACAGGAAGAGTCCTTGGATTAGTTAAGGGGTATCTATGGTCAAAAACTAAAACTGAATATGTATTCTATATTGAAGTCCTATCCCACTCCTAATAACCATATCAATCTAGACGTTTTAAACCTACTTATTGAAGATGCCAATAGGATGTACTTCCTCTGCACTGATACCATTGCACTCATGCCTTTGAGTATGTACTTCCTTGTGTCAGAGCCTGCCTTCCGTACAGCAACTCACCACCTGAATTTCCCACAATGTAACATCATCATTGCTTGCTGGCAGGAATGCATGATGGGGCATGTAGTCTTGAGAAATCGAGATTACATCACATCAAGCAGCAGGAAAAGAAACGCAAAGCACACTGGGAATCCAGGAAGTTGATGAAAGTGATGGGCAGACGGTAGGCAGCACTCAGTACATAAAAAGGATTATTTCATGCAAGCTTTGATTGCATTATCAATAGCAACTCTAGTATATATACCTTTTACAATGCTGCTGTTGTAACCGGATAGTATATGATGGGACTTTACAACTCCTTTAGGAGGTGTCAGTTGAATAGGAAATGCTTGTGCCAACATCTTCATTCACCCCCCCTGTTGGCATACTGCTACTCTGTATAGTTTTTGGGAACTCCTTTAATAATACATTACCCATAGTGGCTAAACAATACTTCTCCACAAAAAAGGTAGAGAAGCTTGTAAAAATGTGAATATCGTATCAAAAATCATTTAAAAAACCTCAAAAATATATGCTGAGAAATATAGCTGAAAATGCATTGTATTTACCCAGAGATCCAAATATTTCACCGTGTTCCTAAGGTCCGCAGCAATCTGTCACGTGGGACTTAAAAAGGAGAGAAGGTAATGTTATCCCCTCTCTGCATGACACCACAGTGTTCACTGCACACTGTACCTGCAGTCATAACATTATTATTATTTGTATTATTATACAGTATGTAGTAGATGCAACGATACCGGTATTTCGGTACCGGAAGTACTTGCACCCAGATGCCGCCCCCCTTGTGAAT